TCCTCTGACCTGAGTTTTAGAGACTCCTCCTATATATGCATGTAGTAGAGATAGGGAAAAACCAAGTTTTTTTTGTGTGTGTGTTTATTTGTTTTCTTTTTCTTTTTCTTTTTCTTTTTTTTTGCTGTTGTTGTTTTGTTTTTTTTTTTTTGAGACAGGATCTCACTTTGTCACCCAGGCTGGAGTGTAATATTGAAATCACGGTTCCCTACATCCTCGGCTTCTGGGGCACAATGATCCTCCCACCTCAGTCCTCCAAGAAGCTAAGACCACAGGCACGGACCACCACACATGGCTAATTTTCGTATTTTTTGAAGAGACAGGGTTTTGCCATGTTGCTCAGACTGGTCTCAAACTCCTGAGCTCAAGTGATCTGCCTGCCTCAGCCTCCCAAAGTGTTGGGATTGCAGGTGTGAGTTACCACACCTGTCAACAAAAGTGTCTTTCCTACTCTCACCCTCCACCACACTTCTGACACCAGATGTGTGGGTTTTGTCCCCTCACACCAAGCAATTCTGACAGCAAATTCTCCATCTGACACCAACAGGATGACCTATAATTTAAATTCGATTCCAACACCGTCTGCCTGGACACGGCATCAGATCTCACAGGTTCAGAGCTCAGTCTCAGAAGAGTGCCCCCCACTTCCAATGCCAGTTACGAACCTCACATTGTGACCTGTCCTTCCGATCAACCAGCTATAAATCAAGGTTCCCAGGACCCTCTCCTTGGGTTAGATTAATTTGCTAGGGTGGTTCACAAAACTAAGGGAAATGCTTTCCCTGCATGTATTGGTTTATTTATTTATTTATTGAGATGGAGTTTCGCTCTTGTTACCCAGGCTGGAGTGCAGTGGCGCGATCTCAGCTCACTGCAACCTCTGCCTCCTGGGTTCAGGCAATTCTCCTGCCTCAGCCTCCTGAGTAGCTGGGATTACAGGCACGCGCCACCATGCCCAGCTAATTTTTTGTATCTTTAGTAGAGACGGGGTTTCACCATGTTGACCTGGTTGGTCTCGATCTCTTGACCTCATGATCCACCCGCCTCGGCCTCCCAAAGGGCTGGGATTACAGGCGTGAGCCACCGCGCCCGGCCTGTGTTGGTTTAATAATAAAGGGTACAGATGAGCAGCAAGATGGAAGAGACACACGGGGCAAAGCACGTGGGAAGGGGCGCAGAGCTCTGTGCTCGCTCCAGCACTCCACCCTCCAGGCACCTTCACAGGTTCGGCTATCCAGAACCTGCTTCTGAACCCAATTATTTTGGGTTTTTATGGAGGCTTCGTTATGAAGGCGTGATTGATGAAATCATTGGTCATTGGTGATCCACTTAACCTCCAGCTCATCTCCCTTTCCTGGAAGTTGCGGGGATGGGACTGAAAGTTCCAACCCTGAGATCCTGCCTTGGTCTTTCTGGTGATCAGTCCCCATCCTGAAGCTGTCTAGGGGCCCCCAGCCACCAGTCATCTCAAATATCACACAGAAGACACTCTTGCCACTCAGGAGATTCCAAGAGTTTTAGGAACTATGTGCCAGAAACCAGGGGCAGAGACAAAATATGCATTTTTTACTACATCACTATGTCACAGCATTTGATAGGGATAGGCCACCATAATGCTTCACAAACTTTAATTTGGGTAGGAGTCACCTGGGAGCCTGTCAAAATGCAGATTCTGGCTCAGTAGTTGGGACAGAGCCTGAGATGCTGGTATTGCTGGTTGGGGACTCATACCTTGATTGGTCAGACACAAAAGTAATTGTCTTGTGCAGTCTCTTTAAACTGATTCCAGGATTCTGACATAAAAGAACTGGGAAAAGCTGAAAATAATGGAGGAAACTTTCTAGAAGTTTTATTTTTTATGTTTGGTTTTATTAAGAACACACATTTTGGTGGGGCACAGTGGCTCATACCTGCCAACCGAGCACTTTGGGAGGATCACGTGGGCCCAGGAGTTTGGGACCAGCATGGACAACATGATGAAACCCCATCTTTATAAAAAATACAAAAATATTAGCTAGGTGTGGTGGCATGGGCCTGTAGTCCCAGCTACTCGGGAGGCTGAGGTCAGAGGTTTGGTGGAGCCTGGGAGGTAGACGTTGCAGTGATCCGCCACACTCCAGCCTGGGTAATAGAGTTAGACCATGTCTCAAAACAAACAAACAAAACAACACAACAGAAGTTCCTTTTCTAAGCACATGTGGCCACCACCATAGGTTGGTTCTGCTTAGTCCCATGTCCAATCCTCTTCTCCCTTGTCTGTCTAACACAGAGGCTGCTGAGGCTCCAGGGCCTACTTTCTCAGCCTCCCCTGCTGCTCAGGATGAAATATGTAATGTAGAGCAGGAGAAGAGATGTGGTTAGTCCTAAGGTCCTGCCTTAAGTGATAATGTGATGGCCATTTTCTGGACTCTTCTTGGAATTTCAGTAGCTCCAAGGTGTCAGGCCAGTGTCTGGGATTCTCTTAGCCTTTTGATGTTTCCCCTGGGAGTAAGACAGCTGCTGCAGCTCAGTCAGACCAAACCTCTCTGAATACCACCAAAAATCCGGTCAGTTTCACATCTTGTTGATCATAGTTTTTTCTGCAGTTGGTTGTTGAATCAGAATTATACCACATTTTTGGTCATTTGAAACAATATTGAACATCTTAAACTCTAGACTTTTTTTTTTTTTTTTTTTGAGACGGAGTTTCACTCTTGTTGCCCAGGCTGGAGTACAATGATGCAGTCTCAGCTCACTGCAACCTCCACCTCCTGGGTTCAAGCGATTCTCCTGCCTCTGCCTCTCAAGTAGCTAGGACTACAGGCATGCACCACCATGCCCAGTTAATTTTGTATTTTTAGTAGAGACAGGGGTTTTTCATGTTGGTCAGGCTGGACTCAAACTCCCAACCTCAGGTGATTTGCCCACTTCGGCCTCCCAAAATGCTGGGATTATAGGCGTGAGCCATCGTGCCCAGCCCTAGACTTCCTTCTATGAGATAAAAATGAATCGCTATTTGTTTAAGCCAGCCTTATTAGAGTTTTACGGTCCTTGCAGTCAAACTGTAATACACTATGCAATTTTTCAAAAATTTCTTCTGCTTCTTGCTGTGTTGTCCAGGCTGTTCTCGACCCCCTGGCCTCAAGCGATCCTCCCACCTCAGCCTCCCAAAGTGTTGAGCCACCACATCCATACAGAATGCAATTTTTTTAAATTAATATTTATATTTATATTATTTCATTAGCAAACTGATACACACTGCTTACAGAAATCTTTGAAAATATAAAAATGTAGAAATAGGGGGAAAAATTAGAGCCCCAGTCACCACAGTACTCTTAACATTTCGACATATTTTCTTCCAATGTTGTGCAGTTGTCATAATATGGTACAACAAATTTGTGTCCTTCTTTGTTTACTATTAAAATAGCACCTTAAGGATTTCTTTTTGGAGTGATGAAAATATTCTAAAATTTATTGTGGGAATGGTTGCATAATTCTATGAATATACTAAAAATCATTGAATTGTAACTCTAAGTAGGTGAATTGTATGGGATATAAAATATATCTCTCTAGGCCGGGAATGGTGGCTCAAGCCTGTAATCCCAGCACTTCAGGAGTGCTTGGGAGTTCAAGACCAGCCAGGTCAACACGGTGAAACCCCATCTCTACTAAAAATACAAAAAAAAATTAGCTGGGCATGATGGTGGGCACCTGTAATCACAGCTACTTAGGAGGCTGAGGCAGGAAAATCACTTGTACCCAGGAGGTGGAGGTTTCAGTGAGCCTAGACCACACCATTGCACCCCAGCATGGGCAACAAGAACAACACTCCATCTCAAAAAAAAAAAAAATTCTCTCTCTCTCTGTGTATTTTTTTTTTTTAAGAGACAGGGCCTCATTCTGTTGCCCAGGCTGGAGTGAAGTACTGTGATCACAGCTCACTGCAGCCTTGAACTCCTGTGCTCAAGCAATTCCCCCATCTTAACCTGCCACAATAAGGCTATTTAAAACTTTTTTGAAAAATGAGCATTTTCTATATTGCGATGTACTCATTGTTAACATTTTTAACTGTTGCATAATTATCTATCAGGAGGTTATACTTCCATTTATTAAACTATTCCCCTACTGTTGGACATTTGGGTAGATTTTATGTTTTAGCTGCCATAAGAATTGCTACAGTAAATTTCTTGTGTGCTATGTATCTTGGTGCTTTTTGTTTTTTTTTTTAAGACGGAGCCTTGCTCTGTTGCCCAGGCTGGAGTGCAGTGGCATGATCTCGGTTCACTGCAACCTCCACCTCCTGGGTTTAAGCAATTCTCCTGCCTCAGCCTCCCACGTAGCTAGGACTACAGGCGTGCCCTGCCATGCCCAGCTGATTTTTTGTATTTTTAGTAGAGATGAGGTTTCACCATGTTGGCCAGGCAGGTCTCAAACTCTCAACCTCAAGTGATCTACCTACCTCAGCCTCCCAAAGTGCTGAGATCACAGGCGTGAGTCACCATGCCCAGCCTTTGGTGCTTTTTTGTATCTAGAATTAGCTCCTCCCATATTGTGCCAAAGTAGAACATTGCTTCAGCATTTATTGAGTGCTTGCCACAGTCAGGTGTGGACCACACTAAGTACATTACGCACATTATTTCCTCAAATTCTTCATCTCCTTAAGAGGCCTATTCTACCCTGTTTTTGAAAGTTGAAATTGAAACTCAAGGAGGATAACTAACTCACCCAAGGTCATGGCGCTGATAAAGAGAGGAGCTGGGTGCCTACATAGCTCTGCCTGGTCCCGGAGGCCATGATTATTACACTCCCTTGTCAGATTGTAATGTTTTAGAACCTTGCTAAGTTTCAAAAGCAAAAATGCTATCCTGTTCTAAATTGTTTTCATTATGTTGAACATTCCTTTGTGTTTGCTAAACCAGACACATTCCTCTGCTGTAAATTAGCTGTTTCCCAGAGTTGGCTATACAATTAGAAGCTATGGCTTGTCACCATAGTTAGAAAGAAAAATGCCAGACAGTTTCCTTGTTTGACGCCTGCTCAAATATGGAAGCACCTTTAATGAGAGCTGACATGACTTGGGGGATTTCCTAACCATCACGCTCTTAACACAGGTGCCTGGTTTTTTCACTGGCTCCTTCCACCTGGCTGAGCCCAGATGCAGATCTGTGAGAGGAGCACAGAGCAAGGGAAGGCTCCCTGCAAGGGAGGGCTGCGGGCTAGGCTTGCTCTTCAGGGTAGTTTTTTGGTTCTTTCCTGAAGTAGGAGGCCTCACTTGGAGCATTGCTTTGCTCCTAAATTACTTAACCAAATAACAACTTATTTTCCACAGTTAGGTAGACAAACACCGCAATGATGAAAATACCAAGCACAGCAAGCCTCATGCCCACTGGGAAACTTTCTTCTCTCCAGCTCTCCGCAGTCTGGTCTTCTGTGCAGTAGTCTCTCTCCTTGGTGATAGTCCCATATGTGATTCTGGTGCTTGGTGCTCTTGCAGTCACCTGTGAACATATCAGTGGCTCTTAGGATTGTGGACAGCTCCAGTACACCTGAGCACCCCCTTAAAGTGTGTGGGTCTTGAGGTCCCAGAGTACAGTCATGGTGGAGCTTTAGAGGTAACCTCTCCTCACTAAAAACCTATGCTAATTTATTTTTTTGAGACAGGGTCTTGTTCTGCTGCCCAGGATGGAGTGCAGTGGTTCAATCACAGCTCACTGCAGCCTTGACCTCCTGGGCTCAAGAGATCCTCCTAACTCAGCCTTTTGAGTAGCTGAGACCACAGGTACATGCTCCCACACCCAGATAATTTAAAAAAAAATTTTTTTTTGAGGGACAGTTGTAGTGGTTCATGCCTGTAATCCCAGCATTTTGGGAGGACAAGGCAGGCAGATTGCTTGAGCCCAGGGGTTTGAAACCCTTTCTCTACAAAAAATATAAAAATCAGTTGGGTGTGGAGGCTGAGACTGGAGGATCAGCTGAGCCCAGGAGTTTGAGGCTGCAGTGAGTTATGATTGTGCCACTGCACTCCAGTCTGGGTGACAGAATGAGACCTCCATAAAGATTAAAAAAAATTTTTTTTTTGTAGAGACAAGGGCTCACCATGTTGCCCAGGCTGGTCTCAAACTCCTGGTCTCAAGGGATCCTCCTACCTTGATCTCCCAAAGTGCTGGGATTACAGGCGTGAGCTGTTATGCCCAGTCTCTAATTTCATCAAGTGATATTAACAGGGTATTGGGGGATGTTAGGTCTCTCAAATCCCACAAAGCATTTCTTCATTGTTTCCCCTACTTGAGTAACACTCTCAGTGCCGGCATCGAGCCTAACTTGGCATGGGCCTTGTAGATCCCCAAGTCCTGGCTGGGAAATTGCACAAGTGGATGGGAAGCCACAGTACTCAGGCCCTCTCCTTCCTCCCTTCTCAGGTACAAACACCACCTTTCAGGGTGGAGAGAAAAAGCACCTTTGCAATCTGCTTATTTTACACTTAAAAGGGCAAGAGTACTTCCTGAAACTTTCTAGCGAGAGCCTTGTGTTACCACTATTCTAATTCTGCAAAACCTGCTGAAGTTTATTCAGGAGTTAGAAGACTCTCCAGAAAGGTTTACTTTCTATTCTTTCTTTCTTCTTCTTCTCCCTTTTTTTTTTTTTTTAGTAGAGATAGGGTTTCACCATCTTGGCCAGGCTGGTCTCGAACTCCTGACCTTGTGATCCACCCACCTCGGCTTCACAAAGTGCTGGGATTACAGATGTGAGCCACCGCACCTGGCCCAGAAAGCTTTACTTTCTAATACAATTGCCTGTCTTCAGCTTTTATTTCAATTACCTGCTCTTTTTATTCCTTTTGAAAAATCGATACAAAATAGATGTACATATTTTGGGGAATATGTGATTTTATATTACATATATATTTTTTGAGACAGGGTCTCACTCTGTCGCCCAGGCTGGAGTGCAGTGGCACGATCATAGCTCACTGCATTGCAGCCTTGAACTCCTAGGCTCAACTGATCCTTCTGCATCGTCTCCCAAGTAACAGGAACTTGGGAGTAAAAGCACATACCACTATGCCTGGCTAATTTTTTAACTTTTCTGCAGAGACAGGGTCTCTCTATTTTGCTTAGGCTGATCTAAACTACTGGCCTCAAGTGATACTCCTACCTCAGCCTCCCAAAGTGCTGGGATTACAGGCATGAGCCACTGGCCCAGCCAACATGTGCTATTCTACTACCTTCATATAGTATGTAAAGATCAATCAGGGTAATTGGGATGTCTATCACCTTAAATATTTATCTTCCCTATATACTAGGAATGTTTAAATTATTCTCTTCTAGCTATTTTGAACTGTACAATAGGTTATTGTTAACTAAAGCTACTCTACTAACCTATTGAAACCTAGGTCTTATTTCTCCGATTTAACTGAATATTTGTATTCTTTTAAAAAAAATTTTTTGCCTCTTCCTCATGATCCAAGACACAAATTGAAAAAAAAAAAATGTTTTCAAATGGTTACACATCAGGAAACCTGGGCTGTGCTCTCAGTCCATTGTGACTTTTGCCCTGTCCTTCCAATTCTCCCGGGCCAATTTCCTTATCTCTAACTATGAGCAATGAGCTAGAAACTCTGGCTTGAAAATTGTTGGATATTACAAATCTTTCTCCTTTCTCAACAGATTCTTTTGAGGCTCAACCCTTCAAAGAAATCTGAATAATGAGTTTTTTCCAGGGTTACAGAATACAATAATATCAATTTCCACACATGCTAAAAAACACCATTACCTTCTTCCCTTGGAAGGCTTATAATCCAGGCAATAGGTATCTACAGCTTTGGGTTTAGTGGTGGAAGCCTCGAGCCTCTGATAAACAGAAAGAAAATGTCAAGAGGAATTTATTTCCAATGTCTTGTTCAAATAACCTTAGTTTTTGTTCTAGAAAAAGTCACGTAATCCAAAGACTGATAAAAGTTTTTGGCACACAAGGTAGTTTAGCACTTTATAATACAAACTTCAGTTTGCCTTTATTCTAGAATTAGCGAAAACATCCACGTTCCATGGAGTAGTATTTGACTTCAGTGACTCACATGAGACACTACGCATGGCAGTGACTAGGGCACATGATGAGAGCAGCACTCTGTTCTCAAATATCACTCTGTTTTGCTCCTTCACTTGTACTTTGTTGCTTGGAACTCTTTTCTTGTATGAGCATGCATCATTTTACACAAAGAAAAAAGTTATTTTAACAAAACAAGTTGACTATGAACAAGAACTAGAAAATAATTTAGGAAAATGAAATGTTTTGTAAAAGAAGTAGAAGCAATTGTGGGGGGCTCCCAGGTATGTGAAGATAGGGTGTCAGATGATGTTGCTAATTCCATCGATCAAGCGCTAAGCCCCATGTACCCATGAACTCACTGAGGCCTTCTAGTGAGCGCCACCTGCGAGGGAGCGAGCCACCCATCTAGTAAGCACTATTCTGTTTTGGAAATGAGTCTGAGGCACAGAAAGGTTAAGTAACTTGCTAGAGGCCACACAGTATTATCAGTGGAGAACTATGTGCTTGGACCTCTACACTAGACTCCTCTCCACCCTTCAGTTTCTGAAACTAATTTCCCTCCTGTAGGAAACCTTTATTACTCTCACCCACTCAGATCACTCTTCTATGCTATATTTCTTCAGCCCTAATATACACATGTTGTACTGTAGTGTTTTGTTTGTTTTTGGAGACAGAGTCACCCAGACTGGAGTGTAGTGGCACAATCTCAGCTCACTGTGACCTCTGCCTCCTGGGTTAAGGCTGTTCTCTTGCCTCCGCCTTCTGAGTAGCTGACATTACAGGCAAGCTCCACCATGCCTGGCTAATTTTTAAAACAATATTTTTAGTAGAGCCGGGGATTTGGCCTGTTGGCTAGGCTGCTCTTGAACTCCTGATCTCAAGCAATTTACCCGTCTCAGCCTCCCAGAGTGCTGGGATTACAGGTATGAGCCGCTGCACCCGGCCCTTATGTTTTATTTATTCATTTAACAAACATTTGGTGCATGCTGCTGAGTGCCAGGCCTGAAGCCTGCTGTGAAGATTTCAGAAGGGCTTGCCAAGCCGTCCCTGTCCTAAACAGCTCACTACCGAGCATGGTTATTTTGTAATTGTTCTGCACTGGCTTCCTTCTTCCCTAATCAGACCATCTGTTGGATCTCATGGAGCTGTCTCCTGTTTCTCTTTAAATCAAGCCACAGTATCTAACATGTGGGGCCATTGGTAACTTGCCATCTACTCCCCTGCTGGAAGGACCCTTAGACATAAGAGGCGCCTTCTGACATAATATCTTTCCGTAAGATAGACAGTGAATCAGGAACTGGAGAATTCCCAGGAGTGGTAGAAGGAGCTGGGACTGGCGTCAGATAGGAAAAGGACTGACCAAGACCAGGACAGAACCAGAAGCACAAGGGAAGTGAAGAGGAGAGTAATGACCGCAATCCCAAAATAGACTGGACTGGAGCTTCCATTATGGAGAGTCCGAGAGTGGATGGGCACTTGGGCATCCGAGTTCATCATGGAGCTACCAGGAGGAAGGAGAGCCTGGGTTTTAGCAAGGATGTGGTCAGTACACCACAACGGAGCACACCCCTCCAGCAGGTGAGGACTATGACCTATGGCAGGCCCAAGGGTCCCAGCCCAGTGGGCATGGCTTGCTGTAGCGTCATGCACTGCCAGTCACCCTCTACCCAGCACAGGTCACCAACGATGAAACAGCTACAGCCTCCTCCCCTTCCCCCGTACTCCCTGTGCCCCCTTCTTAAAGACGTTCTCAACAGTGGTTTAGCGATACCCAAGCGAGGCCTTTGCATATGTGGGAAGTTGTGCATAGCACGAGAGCGCCACATGCAAGGAAACACCTTTCCCCATGTAGACAGTAGATTTACATACCCTTACCACATACCCTTCCAGGAACAGGGAAGTTAAGGCTCTTGAGGAAGAGGTACTTTGAAATTTCCCACAAAGGTGCCATGTGGGCTAGTGTTGGCATGCTCACCAAGAGATATTTCAAGCTATTTCCAAGGGTATTGGAAAAATCATTTATAAGCAAATTCTTTGTTTTTAACCTTTTTTACTTATGGAAAATTTTAAGCATATACAAAAATAGACAATAGACCCATCACATGCAACTTCTTTTTAATTCTCTTAAATTTAAAAATAGATACGTGAAATAAAGCATTTGCGGTAGAAGTCTGTTGCAAAATCGAATGATAGAATTTCACAGCCCCTAGGCAATCAGATACTCCCCTTGGGCCATAAGGAGATTTAGGCCTTTTACTTCCTTTTCTTTTACAATATGTTTTCTTTACTATCATTCATATGTAGAGTTCTCCTGCAGTATGTAGAAGGTGGACATTGTGATTTTCAAAAATGGATTAATTGTGGCCTATCCACTGATGGCTCTGCAGCCATCAGTAATAATTACTATTATAAAGACCATATAACAGAGAAAAGGGTTATCGATTAGTGTTAATAAATAGGGTATAAAATTGTACACACAGTGATGTCTACTGTGTAAACATATACTAGATATGCACATAAACACAAATGAGGTAAATTGAAAAAATAAAATCAGTTTTTGTATCAAGTGGTGTGTTTGTGGTTGATTTATATTTCATCTTTTAAAAAATTCCATTAACGCTGTTATAATATGATTTTCACTATAAACAACATTTACAGTGGAGCTAAAAAATATTGGTGTTTATTAAAGCAGTGGCTCAGTGAGGGCAAAAGGCACCCAGGAGACACACAATATCTTTGTTCTCTTCTCCTTAGGCCTGGAGCTAAAATCTGCAAAGATGGCTGTTTTAGCAAAGCATTTGGAGCCCAGAGCTGAGGAATATGTGGCCCCCTCTGCTTTTCCACCCCCTTCACTATATCCTCGGCACTGAAGGCCAAAAATTCCACCACACTCCCTCCCAAGACCTGAAGGATACTGCTGGCCACAGCTGTAGTTAGTTATAAAAGTAGTGTGGGCAGGTTCAGTGGCTCACACCTGTAATCCCAGCACCTTGGGAGGCCCAGGCAGGCAGATCATGAGGTCAGGCATTCAAGACCATCCTGGCCAATATAGTGAAACCCAATTTCTACTAAAAATACAAATTTTAGTCAGGTGTGGTGGCACTTGCCTGTAGTCCCAGCTACTTGGGAGGCTGAGGCAGAAAAATCACTTGAACCCGGGAGGTGGAGGTTGCAGTGAGCTAAGATCATGCCATTGCACTCCAGCCTGGGTGACAGAATGAGATTCTGTCTCAAAAAAAGTAAAAGTCGTAAGTCAGAAATATGCCAATACAACAAACTGTGAGTGTCTCACCGCAACACTGGCTGGCATGTATGTGGCATTCCCTGTGCTCCAGGCCCCATTCTAAGCATTTTACATCAATAAACTAATTTCATTCTAAAAACCATCCTATGAGAAAGGTACTTTTCTTATGCCCGTTTTACAGATGGGAACCCTGAGGCATAGAGCGTTTAAGTAGCTCTCCCGTGCTCACACAGGGGCGAGGCAGTGGGGCCCATAGTCCCTGCCCATAGTCACATGGTACTGCAGCATGGTAGTGGAGGGAATGAGGAATATCGTGTTCTGAATATCTATTATTTTTGGCATTTAACATACTTCAATTCACTTAATCTTTATCTTTATTTTTATTTTTGAGACAGAATCTTGCTCTGTTACCCAGGCTGGAGTGCAGTGGTGTGATCTTGGCTCACTGCAACCTCCACCTCCTGGGTTCAAGCAATTCTCTGCTTCAGCCTCCCGAGTGGGTGGGATTACACGCGCCCGCCACCAAGCCTGGCTAATTTTTTGTATTTTTAGTAGAGACGGGGTTTTGCCATCTTGGCCAGACTGGTCTTGAACTCCTAATTTTGTGATCCACCCGCCCTGGCCTCCCAAAGTGCTGAGATTACAAGCATGAGTCACAGAGCCCACCCAACTCACTTAATCTTTCTAACAACTCTAGGAGGTAATTATTACAGTCACCATTTTACAGAGGAGAAAATAGAGGCATAGGGAGCTAAATCATTTGCCCTAGATAACACAATTCATACAAGGCATAGCTATAATTTAAACCCAGATATCCTGGCTCCAATGCTTTCAAAAAAATATATTTCTGTTATTATACAAGAACTCATCATTGAAAATATGTCAAAATATGTATTGAAAAATTGTTCATTAACTTATAAGTTATCACAATCATTAATTTCTTATGGAAGTAACATTTTTAGCTAGTATTTCCATTCTTAAACATCTTGGATGAATTGGCATTTTCATAAGATTTTTTTTCCAGGTGGACTATTTTGTGGTAATTCTGGCCTACTTAGGTATATCATAGTCAATCAGAAAGAATATTGTGTATGATACTTTCTGTCATACTGTATCACATTATAGTTAACTACAAAACAGTGGGCTAATATCCAGAGCCAGAAAGAACAATAATCATTTTGTGTTCCCATTAAAATCATCAAAAAGTATATTTGTTTTTTTGGTTTTTGGGTTTTTTGGGGGGATGGAGTCTTGCTCTGTTGCCCAGGCTGGAGTGCATTGGCGAGATCTCAGCTCACTGCAACCTCCACCACCAGGGTTCAAGCGATTCTCCTGCCTCAGCCTCCTAAGTAGCTGAGATTACAGGTGCATGCCACCATGCCTGGCTAATTTTTGTATTTTTAGTAGAGATGGGGTTTCACTATTTTGGCCAGGGTGATCTTGAATCCCTGACCTCAGGTGATCTGCCAGCCTCAGCCTCTCAAAGTGTTGGGATTACAGGCATGAGTCACCACGCCCCGCCTACATTTGTTTTTTTTTAAAACAATCTACCTTGACTAAAGCTGTCACTATCTGTCCATGAAGAAATACAAGTTTGTTCGCATTTCCACAGAACATATATTTACCGTGTAGGCCTGAAGCTGGCCAAAATTTCACAGGCCAATTATAGGTAGTCAAGAAAAAGGTGCTGAGCCCAGCTTCCTACCCTTTCTTTCTCGTCTTCTCCCAAGATCCCTTACCACTGGACTTGGAGAAGTCAGAAGGCAGGGATGTCCCTGAAACGTGGAGATTGCATTCTCTACAAACTGAAACATAATACATTCTCCAGTTACTCTAATTCAATAATGCAATTATTTCATAAAGGCCTACATGTAGAATTGGACACTTTTACAAATGACATAGCAAACTGGAAGTTGTGACCTGCTTACAGGCAGAAAAAAAAAAAAACCAACCTCCTTTTGATTTACAGACCTTTAAAACTGAGTTAACTCCAAATCCCTTTATTGACTAAAAATTATTGAGTTAGTAAAAGATCTATAATCATAGCAGACTTTTACTTCATTGTTTTTACCTGAATCCTGATTTGATAAAGCTTTTATTAAAATGTTGTGTTCTCTTAACCCAAGTAATGATTTTGAATTAAAAGGATTTAAAAATTATCTGTACCACATCAACAAAAGAAAGGTTAAAAACCCATACAGCCAAGGAATGAGGTTGAAAATAAGATAAAAAATTTATTCTAAAAATAAAACAAAAAAAATAAGGTTAAAAACCTTATGATCATCTCCATTCCTGATTT